AAAGCTTCAAATTTGTGTAATTATTTGCACATGATTTATTGTAAGAATGGGCTACGTAATACCCTTGTAAAAGTATTCTAAACTGTATAAAAAAAATTGAAATCAATTGTGAACATCCTTTCCTTATATAGGACGGTCTCTCCTGTTGATGTAGTTTCAGTATCCTCAATCTCCTCCTCACTAATCATATGTAAATATTCAATACGTATTTCTCTTGGTATTCTAGCTTTGCAATGAAGTGCTAAATGTGTTTTTAAAGCTTGTGGTTTCCTCGTTTCCATGAAGTTGAGCAGAATGTACAAACAGCACCTTTGTGTGTTCTATGATTATCATCAATAGAAGTAAAGTATTGCCAAACTTTATCTTTTGGACGACCATTAATATTAATAATTGTATTATTGTGACTGTCCGAAATTTGATAAAATTCATTGTCATTATTAGACATATGACTTCCTTGATTGTTTTCTGCAACACTATTGTTACAAATAAATTAATAAATATAATATATTCCAATGAATCAAATTAGTGATAATATATATAACAAATACCTTGCTAGTTCGGAATTTGATGAATTTGACATAATTCTTAGTAATAAATATTCATGATAAAATTACATTAGGTGTAATTCAACAAAAAAAAAACCAAACTTCAATTTAAATATAAATTTATCACTAATGCAATAAATAAATGAATTATTATTATTAATTATAAATGTAATTCAACACAAGAGAAATAAAATGTAAAAGAAAGCTCACCTACAAACATTAAAAATTTTCCTTTATTATTACAGCAAAAGAAAAAAATTTTTTTTTTATTATTACACAACTGATCAAATTTAGAACACATGACTTTTATTTGGGATTTGGGATTTGAACATTTTGGGATTTGGGATTATTTGGGATCATTTGGACATTTGGGATTTGGGACAGCTTTGGGATTTGGAACAGCTTTGGGATTTGGAACAGCTTTGGGATTTGGGACGGCTTTGGGATTTGGAACAGCTTTGGGATTTGGGACAGCTTTGGGATTTGGGACAGCTTTGGGATTTGGGACAGCTTTGGGATTTGGGACAGCTTTGGGATTTGGGACATTTTTGACAATTTGGATTTTTGAGAGTAAAAGTCCCAAATAGTTTTAACCTATTTGGGATTTGGGACTTTGGGCGGCAAGTATAGAAAGAGTATTTATGAATTATTATTATGCAAAATATTATTAAACTAAAATCAATCAATTAATTAATTATTATTTTTTAGATATGAAAGGTTAATGCCAAAATATATAGGAAATAATCTTGAAATTTGCATACTTCCAGATCTCAATGAAGGTGAAAAAATTCATATTTTTGTAACCCATGATGAGTCTACTTTTCATTCCAATGATGGTGTAAAATCTGGCTGGGGTCCTTCTAATCAGCAACCTTTATTGAAAAAAGGAGAAGGACATGGATATCATGTTAGTGATTTTCTTTGTGAGTCAATTGGACTGTTAAAACTTTCACCAGAAGTTAAGGAAAGAATTAATGATGAAAAGTTTCCAACTGAAGCTCGTGTTTTTTTGTCAATTGGAAAACAGCATGAAGGATATTGGAATATTCAAAAATTAGCTGAACAGGTGAAATATTGTGTTATTAATATTAATATCATTGAATTTTTTACTAATGAATTTTTACTTTTATAAAAAGATAATCCAAAAAGCTGTACCAATTTTTGAAGCAATGCATCCAGGTTGTGTTGGAATATTTGCTTTTGACAACTCAACTTCTCATGGTGCATTTGCTGATGATGCATTGATTGCAAAACATATGAATTTAAATCCTGGAGGTAAGCAACATAAATTGAGAGATACTGTATTTAATAATCAAGTTCAAAAAATGGTGTTTCCAGATGGTCAACCAAAAGGTATGCGTATTGTTTTGCAAGAGCAAAATTTATGGAGAGATGGGTTACAAGCATTTTGTGGTAATGATTCAAATGAAAATAATGATTGTTGCGCTTGTCATATTCTGGAGGCCCAGCCTGATTTTCTAGCTCAAAAACCATTAATTCAAGAAATAATTGAGCAGAGGGGACACAAAGTAATATTTTACCCAAAATTTCACTGTGAACTGAATTTTATTGAGAGATACTGGGGAGAGGCCAAATGATATGCAAGAAACAATTGTGATTATTCTTGGAATGGATTGAAAAAGGTGGTTCCAAAAGCATTGGATTCTGTATCACTAGAACATATTAGGAAATATGCTAGACATTCTTTTCAGTACATGGATGCTTATAGGAATGGACTTACAGGTGAGCAAGCAAAATTTGCAATTAAGCAATATAAATCTCATAGAAAAGTAACCCACAATATTTTTAATAATGAAAACAATGAGTAAAAATTTCTGTAATAAAAAAATATTATGTGATTTGTGGATCTAACAACATTACACCTGTGTTCATATATAATTTTCAAATTTGGCCACTTATTATGTCAATTGCTGGGACTAGACTAGACGCACCATATATGGGGCATGGACAATAGAAAGGGACCAAACGTCAAAAATCATGATTTTGAGTTGATGCCACATATATATGTAACTCGTCGCAAGGAACAATTTTAGCTTAGGAACAATACCCACATTACTTAATAAAATTTTGAGATATCTAAAGAAAACTACAATACATATTAATATAAGAACCTAAAAATCGGTAAATGTAACACGAATTTAACAAAGTTGTACAAAATATTAAAAAAAAATTTTAATTTTATTATATATATTTTTTTACAACACAAATAACAAATAATTAAATATATAAAAAATGACTTCTACACATTTATTTTTTAACAATGTTTTTACTGAAACACATCCCAATTTAATTGACTTGGAAGAATCCTTTGCTAATTTGAGAATAGGTTATATGCCTAATTCAATTATCAACAAAAATGAAGAAATAGTTAATGAAGCAGAAGAAAGGCATGATGAAGTGGAAGAAAGTTATGGAGAAGAAGAAAATGATTTTGAAACAGAAACTTTGTCTAAAGAACAATTAGAAAAATTCAAAAATATTTATAATAAAAATAAAATAATCAATGACCAAATTATTGACGATGAAGAGCAAATACAAATAGATAATGATATCAACCATTATATAACAAATTTACTAGAACAAGTTTGCTGTCAAAAAGAATGCTTGAAAATGAATTTAAATTTTAATAATGTTAAAACTAGATATAAATGCTTTCTTGATTTAAAAAAAACTGAACAAGATATTTTTTTAAAAGGTGTTCTTTCTGCCAGTTTGAGAAATGAAATAACTGCTAAAGGAGAAAAAAGGAGGAAATTGGCAACCATTTATTTTTTTGGAGGGATTGAGGTTTGTAGTATTGCATTCACAGGTATCTATGGCATAGGTAAAAAAAGATGGAAAAATATTAGAAGTCATTTTAATGATTTTGATATACAACCAAGAACACATTCTTTAACAGGAAGAGTAGGTAATAAAGCAATATCATTTGATGTAGTTTTGGAGATTATTAAATTTATATTAAATTATTCTAATATAAATGGACTCCCATCTCCAGGTAAATATAAATTATTTGAAATTGAAAATGAAATTTTTATTAATTAATCTAAAATTTATTTTAGGAAGAAAATTTAAAAAAGACACAAAGCCTATTATATTTCTTCCAGCAAATGAAAATCATACAACTGTATTTAAATATTTTATTGATGCAGTAGAAGAAAATTCTGAAATGTATGTCTCAAATAGAACATTTCAAAGAATATGGCATACATATCTTCCAGAAATGAAATTTCTTACTCCAAGAAGTGATTTATGTCATGTTTGCAAAGAACATAGGTTCAATGCAAATTGTTGGATGGAAGAAGAAAAGGAAATGAAGGTTAGAGAATGGAACAATCATATTACATGGGCAATGAAGGAGCGTGAATATTATAGGTATTAATCATTGTATATTTTTTAATTTTTTGTTAAAGATTGTTGCTGAGTTTATTTGTTAATTTTTTAGAGATTGCATAAAAAATGCAAAGGAAGCATTTGAAAATCTGAATCAAGATTTAAACCCTATTAGATCTCCAAATTCATTTAATATTAAACTTCACATTTCATGGGATTTTGCAGAACAAGTTCATATCCCATATTCTTCACAACAAGTGGTATGTATATTATGTTTTTTATAAATAATTTTATGAAAGGTAAATAAAATTTAAAATAGATTGATTGGCAAATAGGGTAGTTCATTTTCAAAGCCTTATATAAAGTTCAAGTATTTGGTATCTGTGAAGACTTTAGACCCAGACAGGTAATTAATTAAAATTTTTCAATTGATTTTTAAATTATATAATAAGTAATAAACATGATTATCTAGATTAATTATCTCATAGAAGAATCACAATTTGTTGGCAAAGGAGCTGATGCTGTTATTTCTTTAGTACATAATTATTTTGAATTGTATGGTCTTG